AATGCCACAAAATATATATACTAATAAAAAAACACTAAGAAAAAGAACAACTGAGATTTTGAGGCTGGAAACGATAAGCAAATCAGCCCAAGACCGCTTGCGGTGCAGTTCCTGGGAATTTTCTGGTGTGAAAAACCTTACTGATGAAACGGCTTAGACCATGAGTGGTGTCAGCAGGCGAGACAGATACCCTGCTCAGCCTTTCACCAAAATATATATACTAATAAAAAAACACTAAGAAAAAGAACAACTGAGATTTTGAGGCTGGAAACGATAAGCAAATCAGCCCAAGACCGCTTGCGGTGCAGTTCCTGGGAATTTTCTGGTGTGAAAAACCTTACTGATGAAACGGCTTAGACCATGAGTGGTGTCAGCAGGCGAGACAGATACCCTGCTCAGCCTTTCACTTCTCTGATGCTCCTTGCCAATGCTGGTGCTTTTTTCTGGCTTTGCTGCATATTAATATGGCTTAGGTAAATTTCTGTTGCCATTTCCATGAGTAAATACAAACCAGATTTGAAAATCTCATATCTTACTTGTCCTGCCACTTTGTCACATTTTCACAACATGGTTATTTACTGTTTTGTTTTGTTTTGTTTTGGCTCCTGAAGGCTCTTTGGAAATGAAGATGAATCTTCTGCAACCTGCCTTTGGGATCAGAGGGCTGACTTTTGGGGAAGGGCTTAGTACCAGAAACAGGAAGCTGGCCTCTCATGCTCCTGATTTTGTTTGGCTGAGCCTAATACCAAACCCCGTGCCTTTTCAGATATGTGTATCACAGCTCACAGTGGATGGTAGCTGGGAATACGGACCATTCTTGCATCACTCCTAGATTCTACATCCATCCGGACTCTCCCTGCTCAGGAGAGACCTGGATGCAGCAGATCATCAGCTTTGATCGAGTGAAACTCACTAATAATGAGATGGATGACAAAGGTCATGTAAGTGGACACAATCTTTCCCTCTGAAAAGGGAGATTGCAAGACTTTTGCCCACAGGTCATCCTAGATAGGTCAAAGAAGCTTGTCTCAAAAAGGACTTTGGGAACCATATACACTCTGTGCCTATGAGTAAAAGAAATAATGAAGGGCTCATGAAATCTGTGGTTCCTGGTAGTGCTGGCTGTTTAAAATGGTAGGAATAAGGACTTTAAAGCCTGAAAGAGATCTCCTTAAGACCGAATTCCTGGTCTAAGAGAGTGGGAGTGAACACTTCTTGGGGCTGGTAGGCACTTTGGCCTCCACGGTAATCATGGTGGGTTCTTACCTTCCCTGGAATTCACACAATAGCTAGGTGAACACCTCTGATATAGTGCAGAAGGAGGATGCAATTAGAGAACCAGAATATTGCCTGACATTTCCCCCACAACCTGCTCTCATGAAAAAGTCAGTCCCTTCCTGTTTTTAGATCACATGGATCTTGAGCTGTTACCCTACAAACATTCCTGCCTCTGCCCTGCCCATCCTGGTGCTGTGACAGCCACAAAAGAAGAGAGGGAAGCTACCAGGATTAGGAGGTGGGAAATGTTAGAAGGTTGTTCACCACATTTAGACCCATCAGGTACTGCTTGAAGAGCCTATGGCAAGTGGTCAGGTCTTAATGAATCTTCTATATTATCTGGCGATGCACATTTGGAAGCAGGCAAAGGCCCCAATCTGAAATTTGAGTCACTGCTGTCTATTGTTTCTGAGGTACCTTTCTCTGGAAATCCTCAGCCATGAGGGGCTCTGTGCAGAAACAATTGGCACAGAAAAATTCCTTACATGCAGTTACCGGATCTTCCCTGGTTTAGTCTTATCTCTTTCTTTATATGTGCCAGAATTGGGGGTGGCCATGAGCAAAGAACAGTGTTGGGAAGTGGAGCCAGTTTTTCTGGCAATATTGGACCGTTTTTCCCCCAGATCATCCTGCAGTCTATGCATAAGTACAAGCCTCGTGTGCATGTGATGGAGCAAAATAGCAGGGTTGACTTGTCCCAGATTCAATGCCTGCCTGCTGAAGGGGTTAAAACATTCTCCTTTAAAGAAACTGAATTCACCACAGTGACAGCTTACCAAAATCAGCAGGTAAGCTGGCCAAGTGCCAGACAAGATGGAACTTGGGAAAGAGGCAAGCTGCACTCTAGGATTGCATTAATTTTTATTGTGCATGTTTGCTGTATATGTTTACATTCCTTGTGGGGAGTTGGTACATGTACATAACACATCTTAATTCTTTTTTAATCCCCTTCCCTCTTCTCTCCCTCTATCTCTATATGTTTTCATATTATTCTATCCATACATGTGTGTAGTACATAACATTTACATTCCCTGCCCGGGAACTGGTACATGTACATAGCACATCTTAATTCTTTTGTTATCCCCTACCCCTCCTTCCATCTTTTGATTCCCTTCCCATTTGAGAAATATCTACCTCCTTACTTTCTATTAACAACTGAAAAAATCATGGCTTTATTTCATTATCAAGTCAAATTTGATAATAAATTACGTGATTCTTCTGATATAAAAGGGAACAAAATGAAGGGGCCAAGAGATAATCATCATAAATTTGAATTATGTATATATTTACGTTTATTCAAAGTGCCACATAACAAGTTTCAGTGTTGTGTAGCTGTTGTAACTATTATAAGCAAGGGTGACAGTGCTGTTATTGAGGACACTGAGTTTCTATTTCTCTCTTTTGAATTTATAGATTACCAAACTGAAAATAGACAGGAATCCTTTTGCTAAAGGATTTAGAGATCCAGGAAGAAACAAGTAAGTAGTATAACAGTCAGACTGAGTATTTGTGCAGACCTTTTCACAAGTATTAAAGATAAGGAAACTGTGGGGCTGGGGATTTAGCCCAGTAGTTCTGCTGCCTGCCTCACAAGCAGAAAGTCCCCAGTTCAATCCCTGGTACAAACAAAAATAAATAAATAAGATAAGGTAACTGTGGCTCAGAGATGGAGATTTCTAAGTTTTTGACTAGGAGTTAGAACAAAAGGTGATTAGAGATTTGTTTCCAAAATCTTGCCTTCTCTCCTCTCTCCCCTAACTACTTTTAACATATTGCTTTTCTAAACTATTATATTTGAATTTTATTTAGAAGTCTAGCTATAAAAGAAAAATATTGCAGGTAAAGACCCTAAAAGATACCAAAAGTTTATAAATATAAGTGACTATTTCTACTAATTGCATTCTAGGATTGCTGAAAGTTGAATCTCTCTTTTTAGGGGTGTATTTGATGGACATTTAGAGAGCTACACATGGAGGCCTTCTGTCATGCTTGATTTAAAAACTTTTGGTGCAGACTCACAAAGTAAGCAAACTTGTAAAATTTGGTTTTATTTTTACCTATTAATGAACCAGAAAGAGCCAGACTCTTGTGCAAAATGCACTAGAGGGTTAGTATATGCTGGTAAATATATATTTAAAAGCAAGTAGATATATATTTACTTGGGTGAAGTAAAAGGCAAAAAAGGAAGAGAGTTGCCATGAAGGGAGAGAACTGCAGAAATAGTGTATTTGCTGGTATCTGTCTTTGAGTTATCTCACAACCTTACTCCCAGATTTCACTTGGATTCTTCAGTATCTCACTGTCTCATCTTCACAACCTTCTTGTGGTCTGATTTGCAAATATATATTAGCTATACAAATGATATTTTAGGTTTTATGATAAATATTCAACACATTTTAAAATTGTTCTCTTTACATTACATAATTTATCTCTAAATTTTCTATGAGTAAATACTGAAAATAAGACTGTCATCAAAATTCATTTGTGTAAACAGATATATATTTTCAAACTCTCAAAAAATCATTGAACATTTGATACCTGACAAAATCAAAGTACTCTGGTGTTCATAACATGCAGAATAAAATATATGATGAACAAGATATTAAAACTAGGAAAAGGAATGCAAGTGTAACACTGTAAAGTTCTTTTATGTGAAGTAGCATACTACTCTTAGAAGGTAAACTATAAGTCAAAGATAAATACTGTGAACATAGAACAAACATAAAAATGTTAAATTTAAGAAGCCAACAAAGAAGCTCACAGGCCATACATAAATAAGATAGGGGATAAATTTGGCATGTATGCTATAACTTATTCTTATTTGTAATTTTTTTAACCCTTAAATTTTTAACTTATATATAGAACCAAAATTATATGTATTAATGGGGTATCTTATGATGTTTTGATGCATGTATAGATTGCACAGTGTTTTCATCAATTTAAACATATTTATCTCCTCAAACATTTATTTTTTATAGGGCAAACAATTTCCAAATCATGTATTGCAGTTTTTTGAAATGTAAAGTACATTATTATCCATAGTCACCCTATTATGTACAAAGAGCTTCTTGCTCATGTCTAACTGTAATTCAGTACTCATTAATCAGCATTTCCCCATCTTGCCACACCTCACGCTCCCCAGCATCTGACAACAATCATTTTACTCTCAACTTCTATGAGATCAACTTTTTTGTATTCCACATATGACTGAGATTGTACAGACTTCTCTTTCAGCTTCACAACTAATTTAACTGCCATAATGATTTTAAACTTTGCAAGGTATTTGTTCTCAAGTAGTATATTATTATAAATTATTAAATAATAATGATAATAATTACATAAAGCAGACTTTCTGGTAAAATAACGTATAGTTTCTTTTACTCTGATTTTTAACAATAAGCAGAATTTTTATTTGCAAGAAGTGTGAATTTTTTCCCTTTTGTCTTTACCATTAAAGTTGCATGTCTAAAGAGTAATCAGATCTGATCATTTATATTATTATTAGTTTGATTTTTTTTTTTTTTTTTTTTTTTTTCGGAGATCGAATTCGGGACCTTGTGTCTGTGAGGCAGGAGGCGGCACTGCTGAGCTAATCCCCGGCCCATTAGGTTGAATTTTGTATGATGTCATATCAACCAATTAAAATGTGAAAAAACTCAAGCCTAATCATTTGTTGAAATATCTCACTGGCTTGACTGTCTTGATATGGTTTTGGAGTTGTATAAAATATTTGAGCACTTATTACACAATATCATTGTAATCAATAGAATATAGGTAGTTCTATTTTAAAATATCCAAGTCATTATACTGTGCATCAGTTTTAAAAGTTAAGGATTATAAAAAAAGTTAATGATTATCATTAATTAATAATTTAAAATTCAGTTTTTTAAAACTAATTTTATTGGTACATTTAAGGTATACAATATAATGACATTCATCATTGTGAATTTGCACCTTTTACATAAACCATCTCGGTTCTTATTTTTTCCCCATCCCCCTGCCCTCCCTTCATAAAATTCACTGTTTTCTTAATCAGGTAAGATGTCCAGAATGTACTCAACTTGTAAAAAAAGAAATATATTTGCTACTTTGCTAATGAAAGAATAGGCTGTATCTATACAAAAAATTACTTAAAAATTGTAACATCAAACCCCCCACATATTCATCAAATCTGGTCAATAACCAATTGTCTAATTGAATTCAAATGTTTACAAAAATAAGATTTAAAAGCTAGATTTTTCTAAACCTTATAATTATCCCTAATTTTAGTAGATACTGGGCAACCATAATATAACAGATCCCTGGATATCAAACTCCGAACATTTTTTTTGTTTGTTGTTTTGAGACAGTGTCTCACTATGTAATTGAGACTGACCTGGAACTCACTATGTCACCCAGGCTGGTCTCAAACTCGCAGCAACCCTCCTGCCTCAGCCTCCTGAGTGCTGGGATTACAGGCGTGCAGCACCACGCCCAGCTGAATATTTTCATTTTTACCTGAGTGTACTTGCAAACTTGTCTTCACCTCTTGATGTAGTGAACCACAGAAGTCTTGCCATCCATATTCTCATATGAGTACAAAGCTAATGATTTTAAATGTGTTGCTCTCATTTATGCAATAATATTTTCTTGAATTTTTTTATCAGATTGAAGTTGTTTATAAAGTCACAACCGATGTTCAATTATTTTAACTACTTCATTTAAATATAATTTTGTAAAGTTTAAAGTTTAAATATAAAAAGCTAGTTTATCTGGCTTTTAAATATAAAAAGCTAGTTTGTCTGTAATGCCAGCACTTAGGAGCCTGAGTCAGGAGGATTGCCACAAATTGAAACAAGGTCAGCCTGAATTACATAGTGATATTTATTCTCTCTCAACAAAACAAAATAAATCTATTTTTTCATAAGGTATTAATGACATATAATTGGGATTATTTCTTTTCTTCTTTTGAGAAGAAGTCCCAATAAATTGCCCAGGCTGGCCCTCACATGCAGTGCTCCCAGCTCAGCACTCAAAGTGGCTGGGATTACAGGGAACAGAGCATTGTTCCTGGCTAATTGGTATTCTTCTGTAGTAATTCTTGGATAAATATGGTTCGATTGCCTGATACAGTCCTTGATCATAGTGAATGTTCATTATATGATACACAGTATGTAGCAAAAGTAATAGTGATAGTAGTAATATAGAAACTATTCAACTTCAGTCAGAGGAATGTCTTTTCCAATGAAAGCTGGAAGAAATGTGAATTTGCAAGGAAAGCTAATCTAAGCATGAAACAGGGATGGCGATTTATATAATACTGATTCAGCAAGAACATCAAGTTCATTGTTCATTGACTGAATTATCATTCACAGGTGGAAGCAGTGGCTCATCTCCAGTGGCCTCTAGTGAAGGGGCTCCCTCTCCTTTGAACCCCTTATTTTCTCCACCTTGTTCTCCACCTACATTTCACTTACCTACAAGCGCCCTTGGAATGACCTGTCCAGAGACATACTTGCACAATATTAACTTGCCCCTTTGCTACAAGATTTGCCCAACTAATTTTTGGCGACAGCAACCTCTTGTCCTACCTGTTTCTGAAAAACTATCAAGCAGCAACTGTTCTCAATCTTTAGCCCCCCTCATGATGGAAGTGCCTACATTATCTTCCTTAGGGGTTACCAGTTCAAAAATTGCTTCATCTGAAGACTTCAATGAGCAGTGTCTTCAAGCAGCTCATTCTGCCAGTCAAATGTTATATGGAATACAGGCACCTGGTAATATTTTTCTACCAAACCCCATTACCCGGGAAGCATTTTGTTGCTCATTTCGCCCTTCCTATGGCTTTTATAGGTACAACTTCTCTATGCCGTCTAGACTGGTAAATGCTGCCAACCATCTCAAAAGAAATGACAACAGTCAAGTGTCTTTTACACAAGGAAAATGTAATCATACTCATTGGTATCCAACAATCAACCATTGCCTTTAATGGAACAATCTCATTTTTAAAACAATTATATGTAAGCACTTGTTTTCGTTATTTGTAGCCTAAGAAATATCAGCAGCTATTAGGTTTTAAAAATTGCATTACCACCCATCATTGTTTTCTTATGCATTTAAAGTGTCTTATCAAATGTTACCAAAGAACACATAGTGCCAAATGTTACCTCTAAGAATCTCAGATTACAGTGGCCTTGGGCTTCAAAATAAAATAGCCAATAAACGTTATTTGATATAACCCATCAGTGAAAATTGTTGCCAGGTTACGGGGTCTCTTATAGTATAGCCAGTTTGCTATGCCACCCGTCTTTTACGTATTGACAATGACCAAAAGAAGATGGATATAATTCCTTTCAAAGCAGTGAAACAATTTTACTTTTCTCTATGAAAAATGGCTTAATTATAATTACCCATCTAGTAATTATAGAAGAAAATTTGTGTACTTTTAGACCTTTATACTCCACTGTTGAAGAAAATACTAAACTCAATTTTAAAATGTAAATAAGGTCATAAACTTTTATTAAGGACATAAACTTTCAAGTATTATTTTTATTAATCTCTGTAGCCTAAGGAGTATTTATTCCTGAAGAAACACAAAGTTCAAATGAAAAACAAAACATCTAAATAAATTTGACCTTTTATTTCCTTTTCTTTTTATATCATTCTTAGCTGAAGTTTGTTTACTTATTCCTTTAGCAAACCTGGTATGTTATACCCTATTTAAAAAACAAGTGAATTTCTTTCTCAAAGGACACTAGGACTTTACTGTTGAAGGAGGAGAATGCATACACATCAATGAATAGGAACATTGTTAGAATTTAGATGCAGTCTCCTATGTCAGTCATGATAAATTAGTCTGCACAATATAAGAAAACAATAAAATATTACTTTGTGCAGTTGAACAGTTTCCTTACTGTAGGTCCTACATTTCTGAAAAGTTTTGAATCATAACTATATGTAAACTGTATATCTTTAAGATCAATCATTTTAATTGTTATGCCAGTAACTCTAGCTATTTTATTAAGCTAGAGCATTTCATATCAGAAAGGCCCGTCTTGACTTTTGAGATACTAAGAAATCTCCTGAAGTGTTTTTTCTAAATTTCCTGAATTGTATTAAAAAGAGGATATTATTAATTTTGCTGTTATTTAATATTAAGTATTTCTTATAAACATACCTTACTATATATGCTTTATAATTATGGGAAAGGGAAGTAAAATGATAAAGATATGATATGTATATATACCACATCCCCAAGATGAATGTAGTTATTATGTATCGCAAACATAAAAAATTAAATAAAAATTTGTACCGTTCATTTCTGGGCCTATGTATAAAACAGCACATGGTTACACTTAAACAAAGTATTCTAGGCAAGATGAAATATTTGTGGTTTCAACTAGTCTCCGTTTCAAAAGTCTTTGAGGCATAAAATCTGCATGGCTTAGGTTTATGTAGCTAAGGATTAAAAGCAACAAGCACACTTCATTTTTGTCAGAATAAGGAAATCTGTAGGGTAACTTTAATTGGTCAAATAAATTATGACTTGTTGAAGCTGCAATAACAGGTCATTAATGAAGCTTATTTTGAGGGCTTACATGAAAGAACTTCAGTAATCAGCAAGAGAAAATACTTAACTAAAAATTTCAGAAAGTCTCTGAATTATTTTTTAATGATTATTTAAGAAAGTATTAATTTTTTCATTAAGTTTATTGGTACATTTTAGGTATAAAACATAGTTATATTCATCATTGGGAACTTATACCTTTGTATGATGTATCTTGGTTCTTATTTTTTCCCCATTCCCCTTCCCTGCCTTCAACCCCTCCCTCCTCCTTATTTACAAAGTCTTTGTTTCCATTTTTTCCTTTTCTCATATTTTTTCCTTTCCCTTCTTTCCCTTCTCCTCCCACTTCCCTCCCACTTTCCCTCCCATTTCCCCTATCCCTTTAGAGCTTTTTCTTCCTATTTCACATTATTAATTATACATTTTGATCCTTATCCAGAGTACTTACACCTATGATTTGTATTTCAGATAATTTTTCTGTCTATTCCTCACATAAAGCTGGTAATATGGAATTCCACTAGTAGTAGTGATCAGTGGAAAAAGGCAAAATTTCAAGTTGTAGAAGCTGGACATTTATCATATTTTATGTAAAGTCCATAAATTGTTATGTAATGTTTTAAAAAATTGAGTTTATTGGTACAATCTAGGTATACAGTACAGTTACATTCATTATTGGGATCCTGTACCTTTACATGATAGGTCTTGGTTCTCATTTTTTCCCCTTGTCCCTGCCCTCCCTTCACCCCCTCCTCCTCTCCCCATTTACAAACACTTTATTTCCATTTTTTCATTTTCTCATATTTTTTCCTTATTACCTTTCCCCTACCCTTCCCACTTTCCCTACACCTTTAGCCCTTTTCTTCCTATTGCACATTGTCAATTATCTCATTAGGACCTTATGATATATAATATTGTAATTGAAGAAGTAATGAAGGGAAATTTTCATAGACAAATAGACTTAAACCTCATGAGGTCCAGTAAGAAATCCTTTCTTCTGAGCCAATTGTTTATCCACAGAAATGTGTGCAACTAAATTTAATGCCATTTTCTTTTGAACAAACTGGTACAAAACTCAATGTGGTAAGTTGTGGCTGTAGTTATGAAATAAAAAACTACAAATCCTTCCACTTTTAACTAAATGAACTAATTTCAATGCTTCCTTTAAAAACCTGTAAATATCATAAGACAAATTGGTTAGGCAGTGAGAAATTGTTCGCAAACAAAAGTGGACAAATGATAGTTAAAAGATTTCCAATTCTAATACTTAAAATCCCTATTAATGCCTGATTTTATTATAAATGTACATGAACATCTTTTGAAAGAAAACATCTTCATTCAACAGGCTACATTTATAAATCTAATTCTTAACCTGATGTAGTTATATAACTTGCTCAAATTAACCTTTAAATAAACTGCATCAGCTATAAAATTTGCACACTAATTCAGGAAATGAGCAAATGTTACTTTATCTTTGCACAATCCTCAGTAAAACTGAAGGTAGTAGTCAGAGTTCCTGGTCAGGAATGGTCAGTCCAGCTGAATTAAAACACTTAAAACTTGAAACTGTGGTGGCCAGGGATTTAGCTCAGCAGTTCGGTGGCCTGCCTTGCAAGCGCAAGGACCTGTGTTCAATCCCTGGTACCAAAAAAAAAAAAAAAAAAAAGAAAAAAGAAACTGGCCTGGGGATTTAGCTTAGTGGTTCTGGCACCTGCCCCACAAGTGCAAAGGCCTGAGTTCAATCCCTGGTACCAAAAAAAGAAAAAAAAAAAAAACCAAAAAAACCTTGAAACTGGCTGCAGGACATACATCTAAGTAAATAAGTCCTCTATTCATTGCATTTTAAAGACCAATATGTATCTTTAAGCAACATAACTTCAACATCAAATTATTTAATACTATTAATTCTTTTAATGCTACAGAATGCCTAAAACCTGAAGATTACATTTTAATGTCCAACGTATAGTTATATTACATAAAGTTAGTTCTTTCAAATTTATTAATATCACTTTCAATTCACTATATTATAAAAGTGAAGAGGATTATTTGCTACTACAACTCTGAAGAGAGATATTTGTTACATTTTATTTTTATTAGGTATGGGTTCTACATATAGGCTTGGCATGTATATGATGTCATTCTTCAGGGAGGTTGAAGCATGTCTGTAGCATGAAAAGAATTGGATGATTACAATCAGCTTGTGAATAATCCATCAGAGTCCTATGTACTGACAGCTCGAGAAGGGGCAGTGCCAACAACAAGTAAAAACAAGCGTCTACTTTGGAAGTTATAGATTTATTTTTCATTTTCTGAATCATTTCTATTATGCGCAGTTGAGGAAATTATCGTCCACATGAAGCTGGTAATACTTCTTTTAAGTATTTCTGATCTTTTAGTGAGTGTTTCTGGCTGAGTTGCAACATGGCTGAAAGAAAATTTTTGGGTAAAATTTAAAATATACTTTGCACACATCTGCATATTGCTGTTGACCAAATTTAAATGCTTTAAGACAATAAAGTTATATTTTCATGCATGCAATAGGATAACATGCCATTTTACACTTACTGAATCTCACTAACAAGTGAGATTATCTGAATATGAAGTTTAATAAATCCCAGATGTCACAGTTTTGTGTGTGTGCGTATGTGTGTCCAGTGGGTATTTAGTTTTGTTTTTAAATAATTTATGGTGATGTTTTCCTATCTCTTTCTAAAAACAGACATCACAAAAAACACCTACACCTACTCATTGTGTACTTACACTATTAATTATAATATTTATTTGAAAAGTCATTTAAATACACTTAGAAATGTCTAATTGTGTATACCATGCTTTTTGAATTGAACTGATAGTGTAAAAGTATAATATTTTTCTGCAATTTAATATGTTGCCCATGTGCTCAAAAGAAAAACTTTAACTAGCCAAAATAACCATATCTTGATATACAGCAACAGTTTTCCAGTTGATTTCACTGGAATTTAACATGTTTATTTTAGCAGTTTAAAACAAACCAAATGTATAGGTTAAGTACTTATGGAAGTTACATTGATACACATTTAATCTGCTTAGGTTTGGTCTGCAATTAAACAATAATTTGTATTAAAATTGTACAAATGAGCAATGTTCTGATGACAACATAAAACAGATATCTATCTATCTATCTATCACTATATATATATAATTTGAAACATAGGCTATATCAAAAACTATTTACATGTGTAGGGCTGACTAACTTTTCACATGTTGTTTCAATAAAATATTAAAATGAAAAGAGGCTAGTATCATTTCCTTTCAATGTTTCAAATATTCATGTTTATAAATTTATCCTGCACATTAATGTATAACCATACATTATAGTGTGCCAATGTAGCAAGAATAGTTACAGAATCTTTCTAATTGGTTAAAATGTGTCTACATATCTACTC